CGGGTCAACGCCTCTAACTGTGGTCAACTACATGGGAATCCAGTAACATAGCCATTACACCTACTGCTGGTCCCGCCCCCATTTTTTTTTAAGAGAGTTTCTTTCTTTTTTTTTTTTTGTTATAGGGCACATGTACTCGCAGGGAGACAGAAAGAGACAGCAAGAGAGGAAGCAAGAAATCACCCTCACGTGGTTGGCCATGCTGCAGTCCCTTCTCCTTTGTTCTCCTCTGGGGATCTCGGGCATGCATGCACACACACACTGTGTGAGTTTAAGCTACTGGGTCCAGGACTCAACTACAATTGACTACATACGATTCCAGTGATGTAAACATTACACCATCTGCTGGTCTCATGCCTGAAATTATTTTCAAGCCACCAGGTCCAGGATTCAAACTGTAGTTGGCCATGTGGGAATCTTGCACTGGCCTTAATTTATTATTAATTATTACAGTGTCTCTCCTCCCCACCCCCATCCATGGTTTCCCTTTACATGGTTTCAGTTAACCGCGGTCAACCATCATCTGAAAACAGGTGAGTATGGTACAATAAAATATTTTGAGTGAGAGACAGACAGACCACCTTCACTTATATTACACTGTTGTTCTCTTTTAATATTATTGTTTATCTCTTTCTGTGTCTAATATATCAATTAAATTTTTAGCATAGGTATGTTTAAGGGATCTTTAAGAAGTTCATGGAAGTGCTCGCTTCAGTAGCACATATACTAAAATTGGAATGAAACAGAGATTAGCATGGCCCCTGCGCAAGGATGACATGCAAATTAATGAAGCATTCCATGTTTTTAATCCACACTCTATGGTAAAGATCGAAATATTGGAGGACATAAAAGCAGTGAAAATAGTTAATAAGGATAAGACAGTGTGGAATGGGGCAGGCGAAGAGTATAGAGAAAGATAGCAAGAGAATAGAGAGGCATGACATTAGTAGGACACCGATATGGCTTATTACCTGTTGATGATGATGTGTATAGTATTCTCAGCTGGATTGGTCTGAGAAGTATTTCCTGTTGGATAAAGTCTTTTTATAAGCAAAATGAGAAAAAGTCATTGACAGTTTAAAAAAGTAATTGGAACAATAATAATGATGATGATCGGGAAAAATAATGAAAAGCTATGGGATGATGAAATGGGGATTTTAATGTCTGTATTGACTGATATGCATGGTATTCCTTCTGGAAAGTGAAATGTAATACTCTGTAAAGTTATATGTGATTCAGTGTAATGTTAACAAGATTATGATGATAATAAAAAAAAAGTTCATGGGAAAGACTTATGAAAATACCATGAATTGATTTCAGAACTGTTTGTATGTCGATATTTACTTTAATTCCATTTTCCCATGAACTTTTTGAAGTATGCTTGTATGTATAGAAAAATGTTAGTATGTCTAGGTTTAGTACTGTTCTCAGTTTGATTCCAAGGGCATTTTATAAGATGTCCCCATGATAAGGGGGAACTACAATACCACCTATTTGTATAGTTTCCTTCTTGAGATCCTCTTATTGTATCTCATTTTTTGTCAGACTTTAGTTTTTATAATTTAACTGCCTCAGTTTTTTAATTTGCTCAGTTTTCTATGTACCTACCACTAGATCATCTTAACCTTTAAACATAGTTGTAGAACTCTTCTAAATAAGAGTTTTTTTTTTTTTAAATCAGAGCAGGTAGTTTAGCTACTGAAGGCTTTATGTATGGAAATATTCTATCCCTAGACTTTTCTTTCTTCTTTTTTTTTTTTTAGAGGTTTTTCACTGTAGGGCGCGTGCGCTCGCCAGACAGACAGAGAGAGACATAGAGACAGAAAGTGAGAAATCACCCCCCAGGGCGGATGGTCATGCCGCAATCCCTTCTCCTCCATTCTCCTCTCAGGATCTTGGGCACGCACGCA